ATAAGCTTTTTATTGTGTCACTATGCCCTCATTTTAATTGTCCTTTTATATTAGTCTCATTAAAGGAATGTCAGGATAGAACAGGCTAACACTAACATTCTCCAACACTACAGAGAGGTTGGGTCATTTCATAAAACTGAGTTAGAAAAACATACCCATCTTATCATAATCACTTACTTAACACCTAACAAGCATATCCTGGGGGATCTAAACCAAATCCATCTTTCCTCCCTCAACAGATCCCATCGATTTTCCCCCTCAATCTCTCCTTTCCCAATACACTGATGGCATACAGTCTGCTTTTTGTGCAACACAGAGAGGAGACAGCATGAGCAAAGAGGGGGTCACTGGGCCATGTGGAGGGGAAAGGTGTCTATGGGGTAACAATAACACAAGTTACGGCTACCTTGAGCAGCACTAACTCCTCAAACCATAGTTTTTCCATGCTACAGAGGGGGTATACATTAGTATCTAGCAAGGGAATCCATTGCCAATATAGAATGAAATAACCATGCTACCTCTGTAGCACGCTCCATGTCACAGCAAGCACAGGCCAGCATGGCTCCTAGCCCTCCACGAGAGCAGGTATTTCTGTCCTTAAGCTGTTTTATGGGTGAAATGGCAGCAGACAAGGAACTGTGGATTTTAGGCATCAAGTCCCACCTTTTAACATGGAAAGCAGACAGCAGCTGCTCCCATGCAATGATATGTGCACTCATTTAGAAGTCACTGAATCATTAACATTCCAAATAAGGGAAACAAAAAACTATGCCTCCTTCTTACTGCCCGCAGCTTTTAATCTAACCAGTCAGTTAGGAACCCAGGATTTCAAAGTTTAATCAGTTTGGTAAACCTAGACAAAGACATGCATCTTCTAACTATAACCCACTGGTCAATACGTGTTCCTCTTTGTGCCTGATCCACAGAAGATGTTAATCTGTTACAACCCCAGTTACAGAGCCTGGCTCTTTAGTTCAAGATGCCGAGACCCATGCTTTTCTCTGTAGATCCCCAATCCATGATGGTGGCCAAGATTGCCGCCATCACATAAATATTTCTAAACATAGCCAGGTGCATGCTGAAGTGTATTTCCTGAGGAAGGGAATTACACAGATATCGACCCACTTCCATGAATGCCCTTCCTTGAGCACCTGCAAGCCTAGATACCATGAAGATGGGCATGGTAAAGTAACCTACATAGATTAGAGCAGAGCAGTAAACCTTTACTCTTGGACCATCAATTTCTGAGGAATATCAGTCATACTGTGATTTGGAGGTAGTGAGGTGGTTCTTAAGTCAACCTGTGCCTCTTCCATTTAGGACTTTCTACATATTAACTAATTCTGTGAACATCACCATGCAGTTGCCACAGTCTGTTAAGCACAGGTCTCATGTGGTCTTGTTCCATCAAAGAAGTGGTTTCTTCCTTTTGAATTAGCCCAGGTTTCCAGGTACCACTCTTCACCTCAGTGTTGGTGCATCTCCAAAGCAAGACTTGGAAGCAACACTGAATTGCTGTGTATTGTGTCTACCTACAAAATGCAGTTAAAACACAAAAACAAAAAACTGCTGCTCACCTTATATCGCCCTACATTTGCAAAAAACACCTCTTTTCTTTTGGACGGTTGCCACCAATGCCAAAAGAGATGTTGGTGTATGTGAAAATGTGATTTTCATAAACTGAAAGTTCAGTAAAATTCAATCTAGTAAATAAACAGAGAAATAATCTCTTTCACTTACAGTGCAACATATACTGTAAACTCCACTTCCTCTACAAGGGCATACAATTAGCACACAAAAATCCCATGTACATCAATGAATATGTAACTTGATACAGCCATAAGCTTCTACTTAGCACCAGATCCCTATAAACACCGTTAATTCTTATAATCGTTATTCACTGTTTGAAGACACGACAGACAATGGTCTCTGATTTTATTTACCTTGAAAATGGAAAGCCTGCTTTTATAATAAAATACAAATAAAATAAAATAAAAATAAAAATGAAAAACACATTAAGCAATCTTAGAAGCACACCAGCTCAACTGGGGAAACCATGACCAAAGCAAGCCCTGTAATAGTATAATGACCTTTAATGAGTGTCTTGGGAAACAATACAGTTCTAGCATAAAAGACAAAGGGCAAAACTCATCATGGCTCCACTGACACTAATTCAAAATGATTTTCTGAACAACTAAAGAATGTAAGAGAGGTAATCTGATCTACCAATCTGACCTCACTTTGATTCCAGGGCCCTGCTGCTGCCATTTCTAATTGTCAAACACTCTAAATTTCACATCTGCTCATATTTAATGAAAAGCCGACTCTCACCACCATTCTTTGAGTTAACTAGCTCTGTCAAGATGGGCATCATCCGACCCCTCTGCAAAGCAAAGAAAACATGGTGATTTCTATTGAAGCCCTGCCAGTGGAATTTAGTGTGTGTGAGAGAGTGTGTGTGTGTGTATATATATATATATATATAGGCCTATGCTGGTTTGTTAAGGGCCTGAATTGATATTGATTTTTCTTACTTATTATTAATGGTCAAAGGTGAGTGGTCTCACATGGGGAAGAATGAGATCTCTTGATTTGACGGAGTGACGACGGGGCAGGGGGAAAGGCCGATGAAACAGAGGATGCTAAAAATCCCTAGAGCTGTCAATATCCCTTAGATTCAGAATGCAACATGGGTCTAACATGTTTCCAAAAGTGTTATTGAGGGCAATGATTTCATACACAGGATGTTTTTGGTTGAATAGGCAATGAAATCAAAACCAGGGTTTTTCCCCTCTACAGCCTTAAGTGAAGTGAAAAGCTACACTAACTCTTCAAATTAGGGTTTCTCTTTGCTTGCCAGATGATACTAATGGTAGAAATGTCACCCATTTGTAGGGGACATATTCATTTAGTGCTGTCTGTTTGCTGTTAACAGCAGTACCAGGACTCAACCACATAATCTCTTTTCACGAGACTGCATTAATGTAAAAAATATTGTGGGCTGTGTTGCAGAGACTAGGAGATTATATAAGTAAATGTGTCTGCAGTAACTCTCAGTACTGGAAGATTCTCATTCACTGTTCTAAGCACAGGGAAGTTAGTTTTACTGTACACCATAGTGACACAGGGCTCAATAAAGGGTGCAACCTCTTAATATAGAGCAAAGGAGTTACTAGTGGAAATTGTCACCCGTTGGACATGATGCATTAGAGATGACTAACTGGAAAAGAAAGACAACAGCTATGCTGCATACGCCTTATGGCAGTATGTATAGTACATACAGGTCACATCCCCCAGCATGCGTATAAATAGCAATATAGATGGTGAGACACTGCTTGGGCGAGTTGGGTAAAGACATGCCTAAAGCCTTAGGGTATACAGTCTACACAGCTTTCTACATGCCCAAGCAGCACCTCCCCAGTCTATACTGCTATTTGAGCAGTGTAGTGTCCCGCTGCCTCCCTATTGCCCAAGTCTTTCCCCATTGCAGGGAAAGACTCTAGCAGTGGAGAGAGCCTTTCTCTGCTGCCTCTCCCCTGCCAGAGCCTTTCACTGACATGTCTAGCCACACACTGCAGTGTGGACACAGCCTCTGTTTCACTGTGGCATGTAGCCGACATATGGCTGCCAACTGTGTGCAGTATAGACATAGCCTCAGAGTGTACCTCACTGGTACACAGAGAGGGTTTGCATCACCAAGAAACCCCACTAGATAAAGCTTCAAATGACAAGGCTTTTATGTTTCTGTGCCAGGAATCTGTGTCTCTGGATCAATGGATCACAGACCAAAATAGCTGGATCCAAGGCATTCCACAGGTGTGACTAAACACTGTATTTATGTTGTATCAAAAAGCTACTGGATGCAACATCCACTAATCTCATTGTACTCAGCACTTGGTGGAGTTCCTGTGTGCCATGCCATACATATCAGGTGATTGCTCTTCCTGATCAAAACTATATCTTTCCTACCAGATCACTCTGATTTTGCCCATCCATTTTGACAGGGAGAAGGAAAACAATCCCTGCCTGAGACATAGTTTTGCCTATTATGGATACTTGAACAGGGTGGCAGTTATTGTCATTAATAATCTTCCTCAACCGCTGACAATCACTGAAGGAACAGGTATGCTTAGGCTCCCAATAATGTAGTTAACAGTCACTTGCATTGCTCCTCCTTCTCTGCTCTGTGTCTTCAGAAGAGCATTTTTGGTTTGTTCATGACAGGTGCTAATCACTGTCACCTGCTAGAGGTACATTTTTAAACAGTGACACGCTCCTCCTCTTTTCAGGGGTACTTTGCGATGGACTACATCACAGGAGCTTGCATCAGGGTAGACTCATTAAAGAGCAGCTGATGATGAAATAGCTCTACACTGGGTACATTCAACTCTACTAAGCCTTCTGGGGTGTCCGACTTGAATGAGGACTTCCTTCCTTACAGCAAATGAAGGGTTACAAAGAGCAAGGCTAATGGAAAAAAGAAAAACAACAACAACCCCAACTTCAGCTACAAATTGTATCCTCTGTAGGAGGCTTCCACTGCCTACTGTATGCCATTCAACCACACTGCTATCATAACTGCCCACTGAATTAATAGTTTTTTTTTTTACCAGTTTGTAGTCACAGATTTAGACAGACTCTCCCCCCCACCCCCGAACCATTAATAAGGCATTTACTTTACTGTTTAATTAATGACAATTTATACTGTATGCATGAAATAAAAACAAAAACATCACCAAGCTGCACAATTAAGGTCCCACATGCTGCCGCAAAGACGCACTATTTAAGAAGCACATTAAGCAAATTAATGAATAAATTAAATGTTGCTATTAAAAAACCCCAAACCACATCATACATAAATATAGAGCTATATTAAAACTAATTCTGAAAAAAAGCATCAGCCCCATAAAACTCACAGAACTACAATGTACGACACAAGACAGGGATGGTACCACAGACACCACAGACATGGAACAGCATGTGTTGGTGTTAAAACTTACAGGCACGTAAACTGGTGGAGCAATCATTAACAGAGACAGAAGAAAGTGGGAAGGCTCTCTCAAGGGTGTCCATGTTACTATGTACACTGCCTGACATGCAAGAGCAGTCACGCTCAGAGCGTCCGCAATCAAAACAACATGCCAGTTTCATTCTCTTGTAGATGGACATCTTGGCTATAACCATATGTTGGATGGGAGGAGAGGAAGAGCAGCAGGTTAATGGCAAGGTTATATATATATAACAAGGCAGCTGGAAGGTAACTTAAGGGATTTAGTACAGGCCTTAGTTTATGTTTAACAGTCTTGACCCAGGAAAAAAATGCAACGTGATTATTGATAACAGTTTGGCTGCACATCAAAAGTAGGGAAAAGATCAATTACTCTTTATATTCTCCCTAAGTCTTATAGGGTGACCATAGACATAAGGAAGAATTGCTAATTACAATCAGATTTTTGGATTAAAAAAAGAACAAAAGTAAAAACAGAAAATCCTAAGAACATTTTTTTCCTCTGGCACAATTAACACTGCTGGGCCAAAAAGAGAGAGAAAAATTTAAAGATGTTAATCAATCATATAATTTGGACCTACATTGCTTGTGGCAAACATCAAAGTTATTTTTAAAAAACAGACAGAGAGGCTCTCAAAAGTGCTAATAATTTCTCAGTATTAAACAGTGCCTGAGAAGTTTCTTCATTGCGTTAAATTACATGTTGTTGGAGAGTTACAAGATGTCTTCACAAAACTTCCTGAAAGATTTAGTGACTTTACATTATGCTTTCAGGAACTGAAATTGACTCTCGACAGAATATCAAAATTTGTCCATATGAAAGATTCAGCTAATATTGGCAAATGTGCTTGACATTAAAGTCAATTCACAAATAAGGCATCACCAAAAGCACACAGAACATTGGTCCATTGGAACATGCTGAACCAATCATCGGCATATTTTCTGCTCCAAGTAGAACTGTGATTGAACATCACAACTGTCTTCAGATATCAAGCCAGAAAGCAAATAAATAAATGCTTACTTAGAAACCAACTCAAAAAGATGTGCTAGCAGCAGCAAAATCCATTTGTATCTTTTAAGCAGGGCAACGGACCCAAAAGAGTGATACTATCTTTGTGATGTATTTGCTATAAACGTAACATGTTTAATTTAAAAATTACTCAAAAGTATCAATGCCCAATTTTACCTTATTCACACTTTGGATCTGAAGATGAAAATAAATGCCATTTGAAAATAGTTTCAGATGTTGCACTGAACAGTCATTGTTGGTAATGCCTTAGCATGAACTAGCTTAGTAATACTGCCACTTAAACAGAACATTGACAGCCAAAAGCAAAACCTTCAAATATAAAAGTAGTCAAAAAGGTATAGTTTCTTTGGCCTGTACCTCCCATTAGGAAGTCTTTTTTATGTGACAATGGTGGTGTTATTTAAATTATTTCCCCTCAGTTTTGTCATTTTTGAATGCTACAGTCACCAGGAAAGAGGGATTTATCTCTCTCAAATGGGTCAAGTCCTGTTCTAAGACCTTTGTGACTTGCCATACAGTACATTTGTCAAGCAAGGGTAACGTTATGATTGTGGAAAACAGGCATTGAGGGAGATGAATGAGTGATCTCTTCAGCAGTGACTCCATTCCTCTAAAACGTTAATTGTATTTCTAGTTACATGTTCTTTTAGCATCTTAGTCAAGTTATCTTGCAGCTGTTCAGAAAGTCATCATGCAGCATCAGGCCCGTTCAGTGCATGGTACATCATTCCTCAGAGCTTGGCTTTTAGTATAAAGGGTTCCACTGCAGCTTTTGATCCATACAAATTTAGACAATACAGAAAATTCAAAACAGCATTTGATTCATCCATATTTCCCTCTCCTAATTCTCCCCAGCATGTACCTTTAAAACTAAAAGTTGGGGACAAAGGAGGGGAGACATTTGTTCATAATCTGATTAGATGTTTCTGTTACACCACTTTTTATTTTATTATTTTGTTTTTCACTCTAACAACATGTGGAGTTCCATAGAAAAAAGATAAAGGGTACTTGTCAGAAACACACTAATACTAGGTGAGGAAAAAAGGAAGACTCGTTTTGGGTTTAAAATACAGCTGTTTTGAAGGATTTTTTCTAATCAAATGCTGTAGCAAAACACAGTATCTGACAATTCTGTAATACTATGTTGTTGGTTAGTAACAGTCCCTGGTTTTCAATTACTTATAGCCATATTTTGTCAACAGAAAATAATAAACTATGACATTTATTAAAATAAAAAAATCATTGTTAAGGGCAGGGAAAGATGGGAAGGAAAACTTTTGGAACCATTTTAATCAGACTTAAACCAACGATATGGACAATTTAAATCCTTCTATTCAATAAGGGAAAGTTTGTCAGGTACATCTTAAAACCCACACCTTTCAGGGACTGTTTTTAACTATTATTATTGGTTGTTCTGGAGACCATGCATAATTTTTTGATATTTCACATTGTTAACATGCAAGAAACAGGCTTTAACCTGGCAATAAATGTAACAAAAAAGACTTGCTATAAGGGTTTAAACCAGTATATAAGCAATCACATATTAAAGCAATACATTTTGTAAAGAAAACATGCTGTAATTCTTCATTCCTGTTACACAGTCATTTTACATTCATACCAAATACAATATTGAAATAAATTTAAATTAAAACATGGAATATTAGTAAGGATGATTAGTGAGAAGATCAAAGACAAGACAGAAATGATTAAAGATGGTTCAGCCACACACATACTGTTTCCTGTTAAACCTCCATAAATATTAATAAAAAATGGTAATCAGCAGGGGATAAGGGGCTCTTTTTGTATAGCCTTTTGGATGGATGCTAAATTCATATGATACCTGTAGCAGCTGCATAAAAATCCAATCATTCTCTACCATACCCTTGTAGAAATTATCAGGATGCAGAATGGAACTGTTATTTGCAGTTCTGGTGAAAATAAAAACAGAACATAAAACAACTTAATTTTCTATTTTAGGTTCTTGAAAAACAAATGGATAGAAGGGAATGGCAGCTCTCTCTTCTTGGTATAACCACCCCCCGCCCCCAAAATAAAACAAAAAACAAACAAAGGACTTTCCTATGTATCTGAAATTGAGCCAGTGAAATTTGGTTTTAATTAATCAAAATGTTGCTGTTCCACTGACACAAACTATTTGATAAGAGCAGCAAACTGAGGCAAGATTTTTAAGCTATTTGGAAAAAAATGTTTCCAAAACTATCAACATTTTAGACTTCAAATCGCAGTTTTCATTTGTTTTATAATTTTAAAATTAGCACAAATGTTTTTGTTGCAGTTTTTAAAACAGACCGACATTCTTCATTTTTACTTTGGAGGAGAAAGCTGAGTGTCTAGCACTCTGGCAACACCTCATTTTCTGATCACAAAGTCCCCCAAGCTCTGTCAAAATGTCTAGAAGAAAGTACCTAAGATTGTCTGAGTGAGGTGTCATTTAAAATTCACAAAGAGTAATGGGGAATATTTTCAGGCACAAAAGAAAGCAAGGGAAATTGCCGATTGTTCTTTAAATAAGTTGTCAAATAACAGTTCCTTGTCTAGAGCAAGCAGGACAAAGCACCCCTTCTTCTCTGCTGATTGCTTTTTTTTGTTTGTATGTTTTATGTTACCATACAGTCTTCCTGATCTCATTGCTCCACCCGTCACTAACAGCAGCTTTACTCATGGACCAAAATGGTAACAAAAAATAGATCTATGAGGACATCTAGTGGATCTCTATCAAACAACAGCTACTGAAATAGAATAGAATCTTGACTGGAGGTCACTTGATTGGCAGTGAGTAAAAAAGCGCCCAACTACCATTAAGAATTGAAATGGATATGATGTCATTTCAAGTCATCAAGTTCTCATGATCCACAGCAAGTAAAATGACAACAAAGGGGAACTTTACAAAGAAATTATGTTATAAAGCAACTAGCAGCATTAAAGGAAGACCATATTGATTTGATTGCCTTTTGGCGACGTTGGTTAACATCATCAGTCTAAAAAATTGAAAGGGCTTCCCACAGCACAATTTCAGTTTTCTTAAAAATACAGCAGCATGTCAAACTGGTGACAATTGATTTTCTCTTAACACAACAGGCAAGGCTAGCTCTCCATCATTTCACTGTGTTCCAGGGTAATTTCAAGATCACCAAATGCAGCCTGCAAGCTATTTTGCAAGTTTTGCAAATTTCTAACTTTAAGTGATGTCAGTCATAGGCAATTTGTTAGCTGTTTCCTGAAATTCACAGGGTGTTCTTGTTCTTCAGCCAAAACCGCAGGAGCAGCAGGTGAAGTGAGTGGACAATCTGCACATTCTACTGTATATCAGTAACTTTAGAAAAGACTTGCATGTTTTTAATTAATGACTTTTTATAGACCAATTCATTTTTATTTTCATACATCTTCACGACCCTTCCTACATTATATTTTGGGGGACACTCAGCCAATGTGTTCTTCCTCCATTCATTTCTAAGGGGGCTGAAACTACTAGAAGAACTAAGACAAAGCTGCATATTTATTTTAAAAAAATATATTCTTGTTTAAATCTTCTCTTTCAGCTTGAGATGAATTATACTCAGAAAACTGGCTATGTAAAAATGGATTCTTCAATATCTCTGTTCTCTGTGGCTTTGGTCTTCCAACCCGGACTCAACCTAGCCCTCTTTTTCTCAGAACAATTTTGTGTCTGCGAATAATTATGCCCAGTATGAATTGTGGGCAGTAATATTAGTAGTTTGATGGCAATCAAAATAATTTGCAATTGCAAAAATGAAGAATCGTATTGTGTCTTTTGCATCATTAGCTAAACAGTCACCTAAGTTCTGACTGCAGAATCTTTATTAGTGGTGATGATGTACACTACAGAAAGAACACAGATTGAATCCTAGATCCTATATGGCACTTGCAAGGTGAAAAGAAAGAAAAATAGTCTCATCTTGTAAAATAAGGACAAATTTGAAATGAAAATAATTGAGAAATAATGAACAAATCCCCCATTTTGTCATTTTTACAGTCTCACTCTTCTGATTATAATCTCACTTTTAAACCTATTTATTTTTGTCTTAATAGTCCTGATACTGCTAATTGATCTCTATGGGACCAAAGATTATTGCACTAGGAACTGGACATTTGTT